GTCTCCTCTGACATCCATTTTGACTTTTTCCTTCTTTCTTGTCTTCTTAATGACTTTTTGCTCTCTTCATGTATGATGTTCTTGATGTCATCCCACAGCTCTTCTGGTCTTCGGTCTTTAGTGTTTAATGCATCAAATCTGTTCTTCTGTGTGTGTAGACTTCACCTCTAGATAGAGGAATCTTGGGAAGTGGGAAATTAATATAAGAAAAGGGCAACATCAGATGTCCTCTGTGAACTTTTCCCTGTGTCTAAAATGATTTACTCCACACTCAACAGTTGCTCTAGGCCAGGCATTCTACTAGGTCTGAAGATACAGAGACAACTAGAACACAGACCCCGCCCTTCGGGCTCAACAAGGAAGAACTGCTTCTAATACTTTTATGCTCAGAGATGTGGGTATACCTTTATTTAATTTTAAAAAGTTATAACTTGAAACCTGCAGAGTCCTTGCATCAGATTCATAGTATTAGTGAATGAAGTATACATTTTTGATTTGTTGCTGTTGTTGAGTGGATTTTCACTTTTATTCTTCGAGGGAAATTAGCCGAGCAGCAGGGAAAGCCGTGCCTGGGACCATTGATGAGGAGAACAGCGGGAACAATGCCCAGTGAGTATGTTTCCTGAGGCCTAACAAGGATGCATTGTTCATTGTTAGAGCTGTTTTGTTTTTGTTTTTTGCCTTTTTCAAAATTAAGTTTTCCTTTCAGATTGTAAAAGTGCTTCTCATGAAAAACACAAACAATTTAAACAGTTCAAAAGATAGGAAGTAGAAGTCCTCCACTGTAAATGCATGCTCCTTCCTCTCCAAATAATCCGTCTAAACAGTCTGGTGTTTAGATTTCTAGATTGTTTTCATATATAACAAGCAATGTAGATGCCTGGGAGTCTTGGTGTGGCACTGTGGATTAATGTACGAGAGTGCAAGTGAGGTTTGAACTGCAAGGTCTGCGGATCAAGCTCACCAGCTGCTCCTTGGAAACCCTATACAGAGTTGCAGTGAGTCGGAACCAATTCTACAGCACTTAACAACAACAACAACAAATAGATACCTGTCCTTTTTGATTGCTAGATTAAATTGAATGTATCCTAATCTATCTGACCGTCCCCTATTGTTGAACATTTAGGTGGTTTATAATATTTTGCATTAATAATAATAATGTCACCTAACAATGATTGAGGAGTCCTGGTGTGGTGTGCTGGACTGTGATGTCGTTTGAACCACAAGGTCAGTGGTTCAAGCTCAGCAGCCACTCCTTGGAAACTCTATGCAGGATTGCTAAGAGTCAGAACCGACTCGACAGCACTTTACAGCAACAACAACACTGAATGAAGGAGCCATGGTGATGCAGTGGTAAAGTGCGCAACTGCTAACTGAAAGGCTGACAATTCGAACCCACCAGCAACTCTGCAGGAGAAAATTGTGGCTTCTGAAAAGATTATTGTTGATGTTAAGTGCCATCGAATTGGTTCCCACTCATAGTGGCGACCCTGTGTAAGGTTTCTGAGGAGCGGCTGGTGAGTTTGAACTGACAACCTTGTGGTTGAAACCGGCCCTGAGGTCAAGTGCTCATCCTACAGCACGGCAGTGGGCTGTGAAGATGGCAGTTCTCCTGTGTCCCATAGAACCACTCTGAGTCACCTTTGATGCAATAGTAACAGGGGTTTGACTCTACATTTACCAAGCACTTACTGTGTACTAAGCAGTTACTCGTTGAAGTCTGGCAAGAACCCTACAAGGTTAAAGAGGAGACTCTTGTTAGGCATAGTCAAGTCTGTTCTGACTCCTATCGACCTTGTGTACAGCAGAATGAAGCCCTGCCCGGTCCTGTAACCATCTTCACATTGGTTATTATGTTTGAGCCCATTGGTGCAGCCACTGTGTCAGTCGGTCTTGTTGAGGGTCTTTTTTTTTTTTTTTTTGGCTGACCCTTTCTTTTACCAAGCATTAGGTGCAGAAAGTTTAACTGCCCAAGCCCATACAACTAATTAAGTGTCCAAGTGTCCATGTCAAGAGCCTATGTTCTTAACCTCTAGTCTGTATTGTTACTATAAATCCGACTAGTGCAGTCTAGAGTCCATGAGTCTCTGTTAGTGCACTGGGAGGTAGATGGAATCCGAGGCAGGTCTGCATGGTGTGCCCACTAAAGTGGCCTCTTAATTCATGTAAGCATTCAAGTGGGAAGATACCCTTCCAGTGACAGACACGGATTTTTAGCGATAGCACCAGCCCAATCGATGAGGAGGGAAACTGTTTCTCTCTGAGACTTTATGGGGGAGTCATCGTTTGGTGGTAGAATTCTCCATGTAGGAGACTCAGGTTTGATTTTTGCGCACCGTGTCTTGAGCATGGCTACCGCTCATGTGTCAGTGCAGGCATGTGTGTTGCTGTGATGTTGAACAGGTTTAGTGGAACTGGAAGCCAGGAGAGCCTAGGAAGAAAGGCCTGACAATCTCCACCTGAAAATCTGCCCTTAGAAATCGAATGGGTCCCACCTGTCCAGTCCTGTTGTACAGGGGGTGCCGTGAGTTGGGGACTGACTTGATGGCAGTTAATAACGGTGTTGTTACATGCCATCCAGTTGGTTCTGACTCTTGGCGATCCTGCATCGAGTTTCTGAGGAGTGACTAGTGGGTTTGAACCACCGATCATGCAGTTAGCTGGCTGTCCAGTGCTTATCCTGCCGTGCAGCAAGATTTTATTGTACAGAGCAGTTAGAGTTCATTTACTTTATCCCCATCCACCTCACTGTGTTTTCCGTCCCCAAATCATGGCCTTAGGACCAGCTGGAGACAGAAGCTGAAACCCTGAAGTTTCTGCTCATGTATAGACAGCGTTGGTTCAGTTCTCAGAGGAGACTCCATCTTCCTCTCCCACCAGGGAGGCTGGTTTAGTTCTTCCAATAACAGTCATTTATGCTTTCCTATAGATTTACATCCAGATTTCTTAAAATGTAGAAGTAAACTTGCAGCTAGGGTTGCCCCAATTCTGGGGCTATAAAGTTAAAGCTTCGAGGACACTTTGTTTGATGATGAATTACTAAGCTGTGCCGAGACTACCTACCGAATGTTAAGTGTCTTGTGTTGTCAATGTCTTACAGAGCTCTCACCTTCGTCTACCCCTTTGGTGCCACACTGAGTGTCATGAAACCAGCAGTGGCTGTTCTGTCCACAGGCTCTGTCTGCTTCCCACTGAACAGACCCATCCTGGCTTTCTATTGCTCTAAGGTATGCACGGCTTTTCTTACATAGGGCCATGTTGGCTAGTTATATTATTTACACAGTAAACTGTACCAGAGAGGTTTTGTATGTTTTCTCCTTGGTCTTCATGCCAGTCGTGTGAAGAAATGTTTCTAATATCCACTTATTATCTGTGGGAAAACTGGATTGGCCAATCATCAATGGAATCAGGCCTTAAATCTAGCTTGTACGATTCTAAATCCAAAACTTGTCCGTGGTTGCACAAGATTGCCTGTGTTGTAACTCTTTTTTTTAAATTGCTATGAAATTTATTTACCAAAATATTTGCCATTTCACCATTCTAACACATGGTGACCCCATATAAACAAGAGTAGAACTGCACTCCATAGGGTGGTCACACTATGACTTTTGAGAAGTAGATCACCAGGCATTTCTTTCAAATCACACCTCTGGGTGAGTTTGAATTGCCAACCTTTTGGTTAGTAGCCTGGCACTTAAGTGTTTGTGCCACTGAGGGACTGGGGCAGCCTCGTTATAGTCTCACTTTCCACGGCCGTTTCATTTCTATTTTACTCAATTTATCTTCATAGAAGTCCCCAGCCGACCTCCAGTCTCTCCCGCAGGGTCCTAGATGTCCTTCATTCCTTGTACTACTTTCTGTAGTGGGATCAAAGTATTCCTTTCCCTCTCTGTTCTTTAAAGCTCTGTCCACAGTGTAAAAGGAACTGAATGAATGTCTGTGCTGTGTGTAAAGATGATGATCAGGTAGCTGTTAATGGCCTCTCCCAAACAGCTGGAAATGTTGATTTTAAATCAAAGTGGTGGTGGTGGTGGTTATGTGCTGTGGAGTCGGTTCCGACTCTTAACGACCCTATACAGGGTTTCAGAGGCTGTAAATCTTTACAGGAGCGGACAGCCTCATCTTTCTCCCGTGGAACAGCTGGCAGTTTCGAACTGCTGACCTGGCAGTTCACAATTCATAACCACTATGCTACCAGAGCTCCTTAATGAAAGTATTAGTAAGTGATTTAAGATGTAGAAATAATCAGTGTTTGTGTAGATTTTCCACTTATTGGCACAAAAGTAATGAGATCCTATTTTTGGGTTCTCAGGTGGTACTCAGGTAAATTTAGAGCTATAAATGATCTGACTTTGCAGCTGTGCATAAGAGATTTCATTTGGCTTAAGTATGGATTTTTTAAAAACCTTTTTTATTGTGAACTAAGTGGAGGTTTTACAGAGCAGATCATTAGTTTTACATCAGTAAATCCTACACTTCATCTCACCTCAGTGATTACAATCCTCTCAGTGTAGCATCACTTACCCACTTCCTCCCTGTGCTTCGCTTGCCATGCTTCCTCTCTTCCAATTCTTGTGAGTATTATTCTTGGGCAAAAATGCTGCCCTGTTGATGGCGAATGGTTGACCACTCTGTGGGATGCATCCCTCACTAGAAGGTGCTGTCCACTCAATATACGTAGCCCTTGCCTGGCTGTAAATGGAACCACGGCAGTGAGTTCAGTTCTAGAGCCATAGTCTCAGTGTTCCACCAGTTTCTATCTGGCTAGTACGCTTGGTCTTTTTTATGATTTTGAGTTTTGTTCCACGTTTTCTCCCACTCTATTCAGGATCTTCTAATGTGATCCCTTTCAGAACAGTTGGTTGTGATAGCTGGGCACCATCTATTCCTTTTGATCTCAGGGTCGTTGAGACTGATGTTCACGTGGTCCATTAGTCCAGTGGATTTTCAGTTTCCTTCACTCTTCTTTCTTCCAGGCAGGGAGAGTCCAATAGCTGGACTCATGAGCTTTGGAGATCCCAGTCACTATTAATTGAGCACAGAATGTGATGGCTATCTAACAACTCCTGAGATAATCATCTATTTCCTAGGCATTTTCTCCTCTTGACAGCCTTCAAATCCTGCCTTATAAACACAGTCTCTGAGAAAGGTGGCTGTCCGTCATGCTTAAGTTCTTGAGATGAACCTGTGGTGCCAGGAAGGGAGACCACTACCCATTCTCTTAGAAGCTGAGAGCAGGGCCTGGCTAGCCTCAGGGGTCTGCCTTCCTTGCTCAGTGTCATTGCCTTCATGAGCTTCTTATGATTCTGTCTGGGTCTTTGATTTACTGGGATAGACTCATTAATGTTAAAGGAGAAAATCAGTCCTTAAGTGGGTACGATCTTTTGTAACTGAAACAAATTATAGATGTTGCAGACCATGTAAGACTGGTCAGAGGTTCGAGGCCCTCTAGGGCCGAGTGTAACAAATGAGGCCACTGGCAGTTAATGGCAAATTGCTTTCATCTTAATATTCAGGTATATATATTAAATTAATACACGGAGCCTTTGACAATCCACAGATAAATGTGATATTTTCCTAAAGCCGACACCAAAGGTTGCAAGGTTAAGCCTTTCTCCAAAAGGATTAACTAAAAATCTCTTAGCTACTTCTCGGTTCTTTGTTCTATAGACAAAACCCATCCTCCCTAAACCTTTTCCAGGTGCAGCCCATTCACCTGGGCGTCTCGAGTCCTCCTGCAGACCTGGCTCTGGAAGCCAAAGCAGCAGGACTCCGCCCAAGCTTTTGTCATTACTCTCACCTTCCCCCACCTAAGCTCAGGGGCTATAGATATGTTAATTGGGCCTGAGATTCGAACCAGCAAAGCACAATGTAAAGTTACCTGAATGTCTGGAAAAGTACTGATGTTAGCTGTACCTTGCCTAAGTCCCTCCCAGCTTGATGTGAAGCTCCTCCCCTGAATAAAGCATAGGCCCGGGCCTCCCCAGGTGTGCATTACTGGTTGGCAGGCATGGAGTAAAGATGGCAGTGCATTACGACTGGCAAGGCGTGCGTTTCAGCATGCAGGGTGCATAGTCCAGCCTTGCAATCATACTGCCTGTTTAGCTAAAATGTTCACTATGCAGGATATTACGGCCTTCATGGCTGAGATGTTTGCAATGCAGGATCTGCCTGATGCCAGTCCAGCATTACTCTGGTTTCGGAGTGTCTCTTTGTCTCTCTCTTTGTCTCCTTCTGTGTATTCTTGATATATATGAATCACCGTCAGGTATCCTCTCCTCGTGAACCGAACCCCTATGTCGAGGAGGGTCCCCGACATATAGACAAATGCTGGGAGAGTGGGCTGAAGAGAGTCTCTGCCAGAGTAGAAGAAATGGATTCAAGGAAAATCTATAATCTCTTTGAAGTAAATGAGGTTGTTGTGGTTGTTAAGTGCCGTTGAGGCAATTCCAACCCATAGCGACTCTGTATAGGGTTTCCAAGGAGCAGTTGATGAGCTTGAACCACCGACCTTGCAGTTCAAAGGACTTGGCAGTCTGATGCATTAGCCCACAGTACCACATCAGAACTCCTAAATGAGGTAGAGAAAAGAAAATAATATTAAGGAAAGGAAATGATAAGCCTAATTAGTAGTGGGCAAGACAAGTTCTTTCCTCTTACTTCCCTTTCTGATTCAGTTTCTAGCTCTGAAATCACATCGCACATGGCTCACATAGTCTCTTCCCCTTTCTTTCTGTAGAATTCTACCAAGCTGACTTCCTGTTCTAAGTATAAGGTCCCTATTTTCAGTGGTTGCAGTAGAGTAATAATAGTTATGCTGTTATTTTTTTTATGACTCTGTTGGATTTTAATATGGTACAAGTCAAAGTTTGTTTAGCAGCTTTCTTTTTTTAATTAATGGAATTTGTGTATTTACACCTTTTAACCTCTCTGGCTTTGGTAGAATGCTTTTCCTAGTGCCATTATAAGGAGCCCAGGTGGCATAATGGGTTACATGTTGGGCTGCTAACTGCAGGGTCAGTAGTTCAAATCTACCAGCCACTCCACAGGAGAGAGATGGAGGCTTGCTGCTCCCATAGAGATTTACAGCCTTGGAAACCTTGTACGGGGTCGCTGTGAGTTGGAACCAACTTGATCGCATACAACCATACTGCCATTCCCTCTGGCTGTTCCTTCTGTGTGACATAGCTAGGAAAACTGGGTTCATCTTACATATTGTAATATTGCAGTCTTGTTTTCTCATTGTCAGATAATATATGCTCACTGTAGAAAAATGGGAAATACAGAGATGAAGAAGAAAGGCAAAATGTTCCCTCCCTGAGCACTATTCCAAGGGAGGCCAGACGGATGTTTTCATGGTTTTCTCCCACTTTAGTTTGTGCCTCATTTTTAATTATTTGGCGCACAGGCTTTAAGCTAGAGTAGTGATACGATTTATGGAGTCTTTTATTTTAAACCTGAGGTTATGATATAAAGGATTGCTGGTGGCACACTGGGTGAAGTGTTGGGCTACTAAATGAAAGGTCAGTGATAAACCCACCAGCTGTCCCAAGCTGAGGCTGTCTGCTCTTGTAAAGATTTACTGTCTCGGAAGCGACTCCTTGGCAGTGGCTGGTGATGGGTGATGGGTGATGGTAGAAGCGGTAATTTACAGTGTGACAGCAGAGGGAGACTGTATTCTTCATTTTTCTGTGGTAGGACATTTAGATTTATTTAGAATTTTTTGTGATTATAAATGCAAAATTTTGCATAGTTTTTTTTTTTTGGTATAGTTCGGATTTCTTTGATGTAGATGTTGATGGCAACAGTGTGTAAAAGAACTTATTTTACTGAATCCTAACCACTGTTCCTGGTAATTTTTTTTCATATTTATTAATCTGATAAAGACAAAAATTACTTTGTTGTCATTTGTGTAAAATTACTTATATTGACAGTTTTTCTTATTAACCAGTCATTTCTTTTGCTACATTTTCATGCTTGTGACTTAATATTATTTGGTATTCATAAATTGTTAACTCTGGATAGATTATTTTCAATTTTTTTTCCTTTAAGATTATAATCTAACAATGGAAAAATGCTATAGAACTCAATTCAGGGTGCTTTTTGTTAAAGTCAAAGATATAAAAGTGTCTAAAATGACAGGCAGGTTAGAATGTAGTAGTTATCTTATTCGACACTTCTAGGACCTTCATGTGAATTGACACTGAATTCATAGGAAAGCTGTACTCTAACATGATACTGATTCCCAGTGGCTGGGGAGTAGGAGGCACGCAGTCCATTTTGGGATCTAACACGACTTTGTCATTGATAGAACCAAGGTGGGAAGCTGGCAGTTGTTGGTTCATGCCACATGTTCAGTGACCAATATTTGGATAAAGAAGAAAACAGCAAAATCATGGTGAGTTTTTTTTTTTTCTTTCATCATATAATATAATATATAATATCATATAATGTTGTAGGTATAGCCCTAACATCGTGAGACATCGTGAGCACCCTCAGTCATTTGAAAAATCCTCCTAGGTTTATGTATTCATTCAAAACCAGCCACACACAGTCCTGCTATTTGTATGAATACAGCATTGAGTTTGTCAGATTCTCTGCTTTGAGGAAGCTTATTATACACTGAGAATGAGTGACAGACAAATAAGTCGGTCCCAAACAGTGCATGCCAAGGTGGGGTGAGAGGTGACCCTGGAAAGGTGGTGAGGAAGATACTCAACAGGGGTCTCCCTCCCCTGCCAAGACCAAGGTGCGTCCCTCGTGTGCTGAAAGCCACGAGGGGCCCTTCTGGGTTTTCAGTAGGCGTGGGCATTCAGGCCCCTCTATCAGCCAGGTGCAAGGTAGGATGGGGAGGCTGGTGAAGTCAGCCCGGTAAGCAGGGGTGAGCACCTGACTAGAGGTAGTGAAGCTGGGCCTGGTATGCCTGAGCAGTATTTACTATAACATTTTACTTTGCAGTTCAGCCTGCCGCAGCACATGAAACAGGGAGTGTGCTTCACAATTGTGAACACGTTTTGAATAAATTTTGGTTTGTGGTTGTTGTTGTTAAGTGCCATCGAGTTGGTTCTGACCCATGGCAACCCTATATACGGTTTCCAAGGAACCACTGGTGAGCTTGAACCGCCAACCCTGCAGTTCAAATGGCTTGGTTTGTGGTTAGAATGTCTTAAAATGATAAATCTCTGATGATAATGAAAGTGGCACCAGGGTGAAGAGAACCTAGCTTTCCTGTGACGTCACCAAAATGAAGGCTGCGCTGCACTTTTTCAAACCACTAGGTCTAAGTCTTTGTCCCTTTAGCAGTTTTTCTTGATTGATGTAAATCTCTGCTTCTGAGTTCTCTCAATTCTCAGGTAACCAAATACCTAATTCTGTAGCTTTTTTTTGTTTTTTGTTTTTTTAAATCCAGGATGTTGTTTTCCAGTGGCTCACAACAGGAGACATCCACCTAAACCAGATTGATGCCGAGGACCCCGAGGTAATAGGTGGCCCAGCTTCTCAGGTGGATGGGGGGAATAGCTGTCTTTTCTCATCTTCAATACAGGAAAGAAATGATGCTTTTTAGGAACTGAAGGCCCATGGGGGGGGGGGCCAGGAAAATGGCATAACAGTAAATAAATTATATGGTTAGTTATTCCAAACTTTTAAGCTTGGTATTTGCAGATAAATACTTCTTTCAGAAATAAGAAGAAAGAATAAATAATTTGCCATGAAGATACAAAGATCATTAGAATTGTAAGTTTTTAGCCCTCATTTGGTTGCCTTTAGAAATAAAGACTAAAGGCATTGTGATGACATTTATCAGACGAGGGAGAAGGGTATAGCCAGCGTTGAAGCAGGAACCGAACAGCCTGCTTTTGTAAGTCTGGCCTCCACCATGAGCTCTTTGGCCTTTAGCAGGTTCTTTTTCACCGTTTTCCATCCCACTTTCCTCATCTGTGAAGTGAGAGCATGAAGACCTGTGCTCTCAGCCCCACAGGGTGATTGTGAGCCCAGACTTACCAGATGTGAGTGTTCTTACTAAATTGGAAACCTGTAGAAAAAGTTCTCTACCTTTACCAGTTTCTTTTAACATTTGTACACATTACATATCAGGCACTGTGTATCACGTAAATAATCTTTGTTCGTCTTACAGTAGTACTGTGAGGTAGGTGATCTTATTCCCATTTTTCAGAGTAAGAAACTGAAATTCTGCGACATTGCAGTGTGCTCAAATAGCAAGTCTCCTGATCCAAAGTCCGCTCGTTTTACACTGAGTGTAAGGACTGCAGATTTAGACCTGACACGGTGAAGACAGAACAGCAGAGAGTCTTGTTCTTGCATGCTGAGAGGAACCATCTTGTGCTTTCAGATTTCTGACTACATGATGCTGCCCGATACAGCCACCCTGTCAGAGCGACTTCGAGTGTGTCTGCAGGAGGGTGACGAGAACCCGCGGGACTTCACCACCCTCTTCGACCTGTCCATATATCAGCTGGATACCACGTCCCTCCCCCAGGTCATCAAGTCAGTACCTGTGGCTCTCTGAGCGGCACCTGCACTCCCTTCTCAGGGTTTGGTTTGAAACCATGAGTTGGGGGACTGAGTTAGGGTCGCGACATATGAGACATGCAAAACGTGCTCATACCTCTGATGAGATCAACAAGGACAATTGGGAAGGGGAGGTGGTCTCAGCAACAGGATTCTCTGGGAGCAGGTGGTGGGAATTGCTCTGTTGACAGTGTGTGTGTTGGGTAGACTGAGTCATGGGCCATCTGGTTGATCAGGCCTTTGTTACTTCTTAACCATCTGACCATAGGAAGCTACCAGTCACTTCCTTTTCTGTAAGAGAGTGACTCCTCCTGGGTGGTTGTGAGGGTCAGGTGTTTGGCAAAAGTTACCTTCTCCCTCCTTGGGGATCTTTCATTCATTGCCAGAAAACATGAGGGGACTTCACAAAGAGCCCTGGTGGCACTTTGGTTTAGGCATTGGACTGTTAACAGCAAGGTTGGCACTTCAAACACACCAGCTGTCTGCTCCTGTAAGGTTTACAGTCTCAGCTACCTTGCACACACTCACTATGAGTCATAATTGACTCGATGGCAGTATGCTTGCTACAGGAATCCCGGTGGCAAGGTGGGTGAAGTGTTGGGCTGCTGACTTCAAGGCTGGCAGTTCAAACTCACCAGCCATTCTTTGGGAGAAAGATGAGACTGTCTGTTCCCATAAAGAATCTTGGAAACCCTATGGAGCAACTCTCTCTATACTGTGCCATACATATGGTTTCTTTGAGTGGGTTTTATTCTTGTTTTTTTTTTAAATTTCACGGAAAGACGGAATGAAAAGATACTAAAAATGTTCCATAAACTTTTTAAAGCCTCCTGAGACCTTTTGCAGACGTCTGACAGTAGTGGAGAAGATGACAACATTGAGCTCTGGGGACAGCCTTTCAGTAGTCAAACTCCTCTCCCTCAGGCTTTGTCCACACCCATTGACATTTGATTTTTTTTAGCTTAATTTTAGAAAATCACGGCTTATGTACATTTTAATTGGGCGAGTGTTTTTTAACTTGGCACATTCTCAGAAGAGTTCACGCAGCTTACAAAATTAAGAACAGTGCAGAGAGAGAAGATGGGTACCTGAGAGACAGAAGCAAAGGAAAGCCAGAGCCACAGTAGCAGGGCTAAGAAGAACATTCTTGCACAGCCTGCTGCGGCCGCTTTGTCTGCTGTCCTTTGAGCCTTCTGCCTGTTCTGTCTCTTGCTTCTGCCTAGGACACTTTGGAATATAATGACAGGGCTCTGTCCTCCCTTCTCTCTGAGCTTCTCTGACCAGCAGCACTCCCTGCCCCTCCTTGTCTCTGTCCCTGTCTCTTGGTTTGTTCTTTGTTGTTAGTAAGTGCCTTCCAGGCCATTCCTGCTTAGCGACCCTGTAGGGGGTTTTCGAGGAGCAGCTGGTGAGTTTGAACTGCTGACTTTGCTACTCAAACCGATCTCCGGTCCAGTGCTTATCCTCCAGTGCCACACCAGGATTCTCTGTTCTTAGCTCCTGTTAGTACCAGGTATCTTACTGCTTCTTGTCTGTGTACGTGTGTCTCTTCTCCACTAGAATGGAAGGTCTGCTAGGGCAGGGAAGTGGTCTGGTTTTTCCGCTGCTGCTGTACTCCTGGTGAGCAAAATAGCCCAGAACATAGTAGCTATTTGGTAAGCACTTGTTGCGTGAACAAGTACATAGACATGTGCATATAAAACCAAAACCAGCTCCACTGCTGTTGAGTTAGTTCCAACTCCTAGTGACCTGATAGAACAGAGCAGAACTACTCGAAAGGGGTTCCAAGGCTGTAATCTCTACAGAAGTAGGAGCCGTGGGCTCAGCACTGAGTTCCAGTTAGCCGCCCAGTGCTTCACTCACTGTGTGTGCCATATCATGCCAGAAGCTGACTTCAGATTGACTCCAGTTTCCTGATGGGGTAACAAAGACAGACACACTATGAGTTACGTGATTTGGGATCACCTGGATAAAACAAAGCCTGTTTAGGAGAAGCCTGATAGGAAGGGAGAAAATTATTTCCTTTGTGGTCCCAGTAAAGTAATACTGTGTGGCAGGACCAGTGTTAGCCATAAGGGACATCCCTAACAGGATTACTGTGTGAGCCATAAGGAAAGATCCCTTACAGAACCACGGCATTAGCTATAAGGGACATCCCTGACAGGATCACGGCGTTAGCTATAAGGGAACATCCGTGACAGGATCACGGCATTAGCCATAAGGAAAGATCCCTCACAGGACCACAGCATTAGCTATAAGGGACATCCCTGACAGGATCACGGTGTTAGCT